ATTTTTTGACACACTTGGTCTGGACTGACCCATAGACAATTTGAAAAGAATTTGCCCTCAATATCTTTTACCAATAAAAAGTTATGGGGTTTCAAAGAAAAAAAGATAAAAAATTTAAATGTTGTATATCACAATATTTTTCCAAAAAAATCCGCTATGTATTTTATTAGTTGCATTCAAGAGAACAATAAAACACAGTTTCATCAAAATCCGATACTAGAAGGAGATTTCCATGATCACTTACCATAGAATTGCTCAAAACCGAAATTTTAAAAAAGTTATTTTTTTGGGTTTTTGGTAATAAATTGACATTTAATTGTTTTTCTTTTTAAGTTTATAGTGCTTTTTGAACCGCACCTTGTAACCCCTTATTGCACACGTTTCTGACATATTTGTCAAAGTTATTCATATTGAATAACTTCAATATATTCAATATATTCAATATATATATATATATTGAATATATTGAAGTCCCAGTGGGCACTGGGACATGCCAGGTTCGAATTTTCGGTCGGCACATAGTTGGGCTACTAACTCTTCAAAGGTTGGTCCAACTCAACTTGCTAATTGTTAAGCCAACTAGCAAAATGATGACGGTTCGCCGTCCACGATGGTTGGCCCAACTTTAAATAAATAGTAATACCACCCAAAAAAACATTAGACAAGTGCGAGTTGCACTCGCACTAAAATGGCGGGTTCTCTACACTTATATTAAAATTATTTGGTACAAAACAAAAAAAAATTTTGTGATCAGTCTGTAAAAATACAATAGTATACCAATTTTTAGCTAATTAGGTCAAATAATGTAAAAACTAGGGGTAAAAAATCAGTGTGCCAAATTTTAACTCTCCATGTTAAACAGTTTAGAAGTTAGGGGGGAATGGTCACTTTTTATGCATTTTTGGCCAAAAATCCTGTTATTTCCTTGACAACGCTATGACCATCACCTCCAAGCACATTCGCTATATATTTCCTGTAATCTACACGGAGAGAAATATCTGGGCTTTTTAGCATGAAGTTCTTCATACTACGATTGCAAGAAACCTATGCGATTTCGGTAAAAGTTTTCTGCAATGTGATTGGTCGGCCCAGGCTCTGGGCGTGGCCTAATAGCCAGTTGCAAGGGTCTAATACCGAAAAAGCATAGGATTCTTGCAATCGCAGTATACTTTCTTGCAGTCATAGTATACTAACATTTCATACTTTTAAAATACAAAGCATTCATGCTATAAACGATTGATTTTTCTCTCCGTGTATATGTGTGAAAATACATATTTGTACCAAATTTGAGCTCTCTAGGTCAAATAGTTTAGCCGCTAAGGGGGGACACGATTTGGCTACGGACGCTAAAGTCTCACCAATAGGGTTCCGCCGATACACCGTAGGTGTACGGAACCCTAAAAAGATTAAAAAATAAAATTATTTAAACAATTAACACATTGTTATTATTGGGGACATTACATATACCTCTATCTATTATTATTAAACTCATTCTTCCACATACATTTTCAAAAATATCTAACGCTTTCTTGGATCGAACCCTCAACCCAACTTGTTATTCGGTGGTTTTTGGGGCCGCTGATTACGAATATGTAGTCAGTTTTTAAAAATACAAAATAGCAGATCCAATATGCAGGACGATTCTTTTAAGTTAATGACTTTCACTTAAAATTGGTTTCTGGTGGCTTTTTTGGGTCGTTTATTACAAATTTATAGTTTTGATTGAAATTTAAGTTATGTAATATTAACATTTTTTTAAGAACCTTGTATTATCTAGAAATTATATATAGGTGATATTTGGTATTATACATTTATCTCAATTATGAATTTTTAATATCCAGATACCCCCGACGAGTAACAAGTTTCAAGTGAATTTTATTGATCTAAAAAATGAGCTAAAATCTTCCGCCATTTTGGATCAACCATTTTGAATTTTTAAAAAGCAATTGCAGATTCAGAAAGAGCGTTTAAAGATATACAAGATAACGTGTTTCACAAATGATATATGGTTCTAATAAGCATGGAATAGTGAAAAAGTACATTTTTACAAACATAGTCAACTTTTACATTACTTTTTTAGGCTAAAAATCAGTTTTAATTATTTATTATTACGGTTTTCTATAATCGGAAGGGTTTGAATAACAACCTCCAAAAGGTTTTATCTTGTTAAATGCTTCTAATCAAAAGTTCTTTGGTTTTGTCACACTTTTTATTAAAATTTTCCATGCTTAGTGCAGCGGAAACGTTATAGATAAAATTCTCGTACAGTACCCGACGGTATTTAGAAAATTCGCGCATTTTTTTCCTTATAATATTCCAATAAATTCAAATATTTCTAAAAAAAAACGCCTTTTATTATGAATATTTAATTTGATTATTGTTTATTAATTTCAAATGCATTATAATTTTGCAATAATTTTATTAAGTTTTAGATTTAAAAGGCAAATATATTAAAACATTATGAATATTTTAAAGTTAATAGTTCACTTTTCCTTTTAAATTTCTGACACAAAAAGTGTAACCTTCCCATTATGTCAGATGTTTGAGAAAAATGGGATTAAAACTCCCAAATATCAAGTTTTTAGAAGCTTTTGTAAATTTTGACCAGGTAAATCCGACAAAGAGCTTAACATTATTTCTTCTCTCTTAATTTGAATCAGTTAAAAATCGTGGTTTTAACTGACAATCAGTGACTGACTTTTTGCTTCTGAATCAGTTAAAAATAACTAATTTTCAGTAAAAAATAATTGAAAAAATAGTTAAACTTGACTAATTGAATGAGTCAAAAAAATCTATTGAAACTTTAGTTATTTTTAACTGAAAATCAGTTTTTTTTAACTAATTGTCAATAGAAATATTACTATTTGAATTAGTGACTGACTTTTTGCTTCTAAATCAGTTATTTTTAACTGATTCAAATTTAGAGAGTTGACTGTTGTCGGGTACTTTTGGGGTACATTTGAAAATTGCTACTCGAGGCTTTTAGGGTCGTTGATGACGAAGATGAAATCATTGTTTCGTATATTCGTAATCGCTCATCTATTTAGGTTAAGCTTATTATTTTAATCTCAAATAGATGCTCTTAGAACCTTTTGTTTTATCGCAGTAATTCCTGGATTTTATACTTTGCCGGTAATATATTTAACATTTCAGACATTAAATATACAAAATGTTTTGACAAACTAATTTGATCTTAAAATTCAACATAATATAACATCAATCATAATTGAGGGATCCCTTTTGGAATTCGAGCAAGTTTTATAAAACTAAAGTTAAGATAAATTTAAATATTGCCTTTTTCCTATTTAATTATACAGTTCCTAAGATAATTTATTACATTTCATATGCTGTTTTGCAAATATAACACGTGCTCTTAGCCATGTTTTCATAAAAAATGTAAGTAGCAGAGAAAAATAAAATTAAATTGTAATAAAATAAGTGTAAAATATATTTTAAATGATGTACAGTGCCGCTCAGTGGGATTTACCCATCCTACAGCAAATAAAGTAATTGCAAAAAGTTTTTTTATTTTAATTTCTAATAGAGATAAAAAGTTGGTTAAGGTCTCATTTCAAAGCTAATATTTTCTACTTTCATAATATTCGAATGATAAATTTAATAAATTTTTCTTCATTGTTTAGTTACTGTTAAAAACTTTTTCCATTTTTTGGGTCAATTTCAAACAAATGTAATTTTTTAACAAGCGATCCAAGAAGTGACTATAAGAAAATACAATTTCTCATAAGACACATCAGTGTTAAATGTGAAAAGAGAAAATTATTTATATCTTTTGTCACAATCAACCTAAACCTCTAAAAATTTAACTACATTTTCTTAAAACCATTATCAATACATCAAGTTTTATAATTAACTGTTTGTTATTTCTGTTTACGAGAGAACCTCCTTAAATTTTTTTTCTATTTTTAAATTTAGTTTGAAACAAGTGTTTAACTTTAAAAAAGCCAGCATCAATATACTGTACCATTTTCTTAAAAAAGCATTTCAAAGGTGATAAACTAGCTTTTAATTATTTTAATTAACTTTTAATTAACTAGTTTGAAATTGACCCAAAAAAGGAAAAATTTTGTTAATGAAGAAATTTTTTGCAAAAAATTTATTATTTAGATATTATGAAAGTAGGGAGTATTATCTTTAAAATGAGACCAACTTTTTATTTTCATTAGAAATTATAATAAAAAACTTTTTGAAATTACTTTATTTACTGTTGAGCAGGTAAATCCTATACTATGAGATAATACGTATATTCTAGTACGTGTGTATTATAGTGATGGGACATCGACATCGGAAACATCGATGTTTTTCCTTCGAGGTCGATGTTTAAATAAACCTGGATGTTTTGATTTCGATGTTAGATCGAAATAGTATTTGCCCCTCTTTAGCACTTTTGACACATTTTCCCCTAAATTTTTATTAAAACCAGCCAATATTGTAAGTTTTAACTTGCCCAAAATGTGAATCACCCTAAAGTGCTAAACAACTATAAATTTTTATATCTGTCTATTAATTAATATTATTTAACTAACAAAATTTAATTTTCATTGATTTCTATATTTCATTGTACTTTAATTACTTTTCTAATGAAAGCTGGAAATTGCGCTTTTAAAAATTACAATTTCATCTTAAATCTTTTTAAAATCTACTTCAAATGTTCTTAATATTGAATATGTCGATGTTTTACAACATTGATGTTTTTCTTTCGATGTCCCATCACTATAACGTGTATGTTAAATCATAAAGTTTTTATTTTTGTGAGTTAATTATACATTTAGATTGTGAAAGTTTAAAAAACATTTTATGAAGAATATAAATTATTAGAATATAAGAGAATAAATATTAATTCGGGAGAGAAAAGTAAGTGTCAGTGTTATGAAATATTAGTTACTGTAAGTATAAGTATATTAATTTCAATTGACAGTAAAAGCTATAGTTTCTTCGTTTATGATTAGACATTACTAAGACTTTTAAGGATGCAAACTCACCAGATGTATGATATGGAGACATGTTAGCACCATCCAATGTTTGACTCAGTTTTAATTCTTGCATCGTCAGAGGTGTAAGCGGCGTCAAAGTACCACCTGCCATAAGGGATCCCCATTTCTTTTGTTACTGTATGTAAGTTTATTTCTTGTTGCTTATCAAGACGGAACGTTATATATAAAATACTAATAAACTTAACCATTAAAAAAACTCAAGTCTGACAAAATTTTTTAATTTTAATCATGTTTTAAAATTGGTTATGTTTCTCTTTTCAGAATAAGACTGTTTTTCTTAAACTTTTTCCACTTAAATGAAATTCTATTCTCTTATTGTAATGTTTGGATAATAGTATCATAATCTTGGTTTAAAATTTACAAATTTAAATGTAAATCTTATGAATTTTAACCTTTAAGGGGTAATTTTAAGGTTAAGGGCAATTTTTTAAAAAATTTATAATTTATGACTACAAATAAGTGACGCAAATTTTTTTTCATATATCATCAATTCTAGAGCCAATATATTATTTCCAAATTTTTTAAATTCCGTTTTAATGTTTAAAAATGATGCCAAACTTCAAGTAAAGTTTTTGTACATCAGGTACTAAAGTACTTCTTTTCATGATTGCTCAGGTATCTATTTTTATTATATCTTATACCCCGCAGAGACACCCCTATTCAAGAAAACATTTATAGCAAAATCGTTATTAAATTAAAAAGCGGATCATTTTTTTCGAAATTCTTTGTCTAAATAACTATAAAAACCTGTTTTAATTAGTTTCATTTTAGTATTATTATAATCAACCACAATAATGTATTTATTCTTTCAAAGTTATAACATAACCATGATCACTAATTTAGTATTATATTAATGTTTAGATTACTAAATTAATATAATTTTTATTCATGTACATAGTAGCATTTTATTCCACCTTTATTCCGTGGACTGCTCCTAAAATCTTCTACAGAATGGAGGATTCTCTGTATTACTGTATCGTGTTGTTTATCGTGTTGTTTTTATAAATTCAGTTAATATTTAGCTTGATTTAAACATCATCATTATCTTAATAAAGAAAATCTTTAAAGCTTTTTTTAAACCTACAATATAATTTTATTGGGGATGTACTTAACTTTTCATAAAATTTATGGGTATAACATAACCTTTTTGTATGTTTACTTTTATTTCTTCCAAAATTGTATCAATAACAAACAAATTTTGCTAATTTCTTTTATAAAAAATGCATTCTTATTATAACATTTTGCTTTCATATCAATTAAATTAGAAAGCCATATACGTTCCGTCGTTGATTGCACAACAATTTATTAAATTACAAAATACGTAATGCTATTATAGAAATGTTTCGAAATTTACGGATTAAACCGCCTATCACCAGTAGCACTTTTGAATCTTAAGAATTAGATATAATTTAATGCTAAACCTAACATCTTACTGATCAGGATAAATTGTCAATTATAAATGTTTAAAGGGATTTAATGCGCCCAACAATAAATATATAACAAAGAATGCAATAATGTTTGAATAAAAAAATCATCCAAATATACACAGATAGAATGTAAGCTGATGTATGAAAAAAAAAATGATTGAAAAAACAATTTCCACCATTTTATATTTCGCCATTACTCATGCGTTATTTAAGCCATATATTAGCACTAACGTGAATATGCAAAGCAATATGTAAAAACCACAATAATAAACGCACATAGAAAAAGAAAGGATTTTTAATAGGCAAATACTACGTGTGTTGGAATCAGTACCAGGGAGGAAAAGAGTAAAAGGGGAGTTCAAAGGGAGAGAGAAAGAGAGAGAGAGAGAAAAAGAGAGAATAGGAAGGAGACGCTCACCTATAGTGCCCCCTATGGGCGGGGTGTAGAGGTGGGGCGTCTGCGCTTGCGTCATAGTTGTAATGGTGCCCAGGGAATCGTACAGTTCTGCGGAGGTTGCAATCGCATTCCCGGGGAATCCACCATGTTCATAGTATCCGCTGCCTCCTCCGCTACTTCCACCACTACCTCCTGAGCCACTACCGTTTCCGGTAGCACCGCTACCTCCAAGTTCATTCAACAACTTATGCTCATCCTTAATGCTCCATTTACTTGACCACAGCTGCAATCACATTTAGTCTCAATAAAGTCGTAATTAAGAATAGAAAAATTCTACGCGTTGAAACATAATGTTTGCATTATGTTCCAATGCACACAAGCATTTACTCGTCAAATAAATAGTATACTGCTATTTATTATTAATGCAAGTGAAATTTTAGTTAACTATAGTTTGAATTTCTCAATACACTTTAATAATTTCTTTTATAAAAATTACAAAGAGAAAGTTCATTTTATGAATACTTTCCAATTTCGTACAGAAAAGGTTCTTTTTTAGGACCAAGAAATGTGAAGAAAAAATTTCATTTACAAGAAAACATTTTTAGGAAATCTTAAACTAGAAATTTTGTAAATACTTGATTACTAAAGAAAAAAATGTTTGTATTTTTTAAAAATAGAGCCATATGTGAATATTCACACTTTTCTTGGAGCAAATTTGACAACTTACATAATATGCTAGAAAAAAATTTGCACATTAGTGGCAATAGGATGTTTCGATTTAAAAAAATAAACGTTTTTTACTTAAAGGGTGCTATCTCTATTTCGAGCCTAAAAAAGTGTGTTTTTCAAGCTTTTTTGTAAGTACAGTTTTTAATTATAGTCTGCAATCAAGAGTTGCTTAATTAAATGGTATTACCATTGAATTAAGCAACTCATGAGGAGGAAGAAAAAATTTTATGAATTTTTTTATAAAATGGCGGCTGTAACCGCATAAAATACAAAGATTTTTAAGCTTCTCTGCGGCGATCAGTACCAATGTCCTGGATCACCATAAGCATAAAATTTTGTCTATAAACTACAAGAGATTATCTGATATAGTACACGTGATTACAATTTTAGAATTTTTTTTGTAGAACTGCGAGATTTCCAAAAAATAATCGCATTTTTGACCCAAAAAAAACCGACTTTAATTGTTTGTGAAAGAAAATCCTCTTCATCAATTGTAAAAATCGTGTGTACTTCACTGCATAATCAAATGAAGAACTAACAGTTAAATTTTTAAGTCAATCGGATAAAAAATCTGAGTTCTATACTGCTAGCCGATTTTCCAAAACACGGTTTCGAGAACTACGCGTTTGAAGTTAAAATTTTCTATTTTTTTACTTCGGAATTTATCAAGAGGAATTAATTTTAAGAACATTTAAAAATTGTTTTCATTATCAATCTAGGGATGTTATAGTGAATTTTATGCCAATAAAAAAATGGAAAAGAAAAAAATTCCAAACAGATATTACCCCATATGGTCGGTATTTTTTATTCTGATTAGAATAACCAGAATTCTAGTTATTTTAACTAGAATTTTTTCAATCTATGTAGATTCTTTATATTTACGAATGTTTAATAATGTTACTTAAGGTAATCCGATGCATTTACATAATAATTCTATTTAATATAAATAGTAAAAAATTACTTACATTAGAATAAAGTTGATCTCCATTATAAGTCCCTCTCTGTCTTTTAAGTTCCTCATCAGTGTGATCACTTATATCTCGATTTTCTTCTAAAACAATATTGTAATGTTATTTAAATAAAAATGCAGTTAAAAATATTGTTTCAGAGTTACAGTATTTAATATAAATAAACACTAAATAATAACAGAGATAACATTTTTCTTTAAAAAAAAGAATTACTTTTAAAAAATGTACTAAAATTTTTGTATACAAAATTGCAAAGTATAATTCTACATAGTTTTTAAAATTTTTAAGGTGAGAAAGAAAATTCAAGGATAATTTAAGATTTTCAGTATTTGATATACATATACTTTTTCACTACTTTTGATAAAATTTCTTAACTGTTTTGATTTTCCTGATCTGCAGCAATTCTGTTATTGTCGAAATCCATAAAAATGTAAAAACATACGTCTAATCCAAAATAAATTTTGAAAAACAAATTTAAAACAAATAAAGGTTTAATACCCAAAAAATATCAATTAATATCAATTAATATCAATTGTTTTAAATTTACAAATTTTTTTACAGTGAGGGCAGATATTTGTTCTATGAGCTCAAAGGCTCACAAAAAAGTTAGACTCTTCAGGGTGGCCACATGTCAGTAAAGTCAGTGAAATGTCAGGGAAACAAAATTTTTGTCAGGAAAATTAAGAAAATTTATATTTTTTTCGAATTACTTTCATAAATTGGGATTTTTTCAAATTAATTTTGTAAAATTTAAATGAAAATAATTAATTTTTTTCAAGTACTTTGTTATATAATTTTTGAAAATCAACTTTTGAAGAATTTTAATTGCAAATTGTGAAAATAAGTGAGTTATCAAAAAAAGTTCATGAAAAATCTTTAAATGTAAATTTAAAAATGAAAATTAGCTTTCTTTAAATTCAATATTTTCAATATTTTTAATTACATATTATTTCCAAAAATTCAAATACATACAAAAAATAATAACATTTTAGAATTATTTTTAACATTTTGGAGAAAAAAATCATGTTCAAAATTTTTAATTAAAATTCATAAAAAAATTAATTAGGTTTTTCAAATTATATACAAAAATTCTATTAAGAAATTCAATTATTTTCAAAAAATTACATTAAAATATTTTTAAAAACTAATGCTTAAAATTGTTTTATCATAATTTTTTAAAATTCAATTATCTTCAAACAAAGTAAATAAAAATTTTTAGAAAATTACTTTTTTAGTAAATTCTCAAAAAATTTGATATTTATTTATTTATATATTTTTCACAGATTCAATTATTTTTAAAAGATTTTACCAAATTTCAATTGTTTGGAAAGTTTTTAATTTCAAAAAATATTTAAAAATATTTTTAAAACAATTAATTTTTTTAACAATTTTCATCAAAATTCCAATTATCCTTCTTCTCCAAAATTCAATCATTTGAAAAATTTTAATAAAATTCTTGAAAAAAATCCAATTATTTAGAGAAACAACAAAATTCTTCAAAGGTATTCAATAATTCTTTGCAACAATTCAATTATTTTTAATACAATTTTAATAAATCTTTCGAAACAATTCACATAACCATTAAAATTAACTTTAATGTAAGAAAAATTGTAATAAATTATTCATTTTTCAATATTGTTCTATTTAAAAACCTCTGATTTTAAACACACGATTCCTATGGATTATATTGATCTGCATCTTTTTTAGTTCAAATAAATACACTCTTTAACTTTATAAAAAAACCTTCTTTTATTAAAAAAATACTATTTGTTTATTTAAAATTTGACAATACTTTTAGACCTACTGAAAGTACCGATTCTAGCTGCGTAGTTAATTTCTCCGGTTAGAAAAATCTAAATAAAATTCAAGTTGATTTATGTTCAGTAGGACCTGTGCTTATCGCCCGAACTAGAATTTTTAATTTTTATGTAAAAATAACAAAACGGCGGCAATTTAAACAAAGATTTTCGAAATTTAAGGTTTTTTTTGTCAGTTTTACGGTTTAAAAAAATAGTAAAAATTGATCTCAATTTTTTGAAAAATGGATTTATTAATTTTTGAAAAATTGCTCCTTAGTTAATTATACCAATTTGCATTTTGGATGTCAGATTCCAAAATATGGTAAATTCAAACAACGTCGAAGTATTAAAATTGGAAATTGTAATTGTACTGAAATTGAAGAGCTGCAGCAAATATATTTAATACTTTAAAGTATAAATACTGCAAAAGATACATCGTTGAAGATTCATTAGAACCGATTTAATCGTAAAATTCAAACGGTCTAACTCGTTCGGTTACGAGCCTGAAACGAGTTTTATAGGAATTGTGGAACAACCCTGTCGGGAAAATGCTCCGACCAGCAGCTAGTTGGACAATCGCGACTTGACAGTGAGGTTTAACGAGCCCTATGCTCGCACCCCCATCTACTCCGGAAGGTCATTTAATTATTCGAGAAGCCCCCCGTACGTTTGGGTAACTATGTTTGGTCATCCTTTCCTGTTTGACCTCTTTCTTTCTCTCATTCACTCTCCCTCCCTTTCCATGTTGAAAACATCATCCCTACATCCCTACTTCTCTGCTCCTCATTCCACTTTTCTATCTAGCAATCGTCCCTGGTGCCAGTTTCTATATTAAACCACTGGTACGTACGCAAGATAATAAAGACGTATAATGGAATCGAAATTGTTTCTCTATCTATCAATGCCATGCACTGACCCTTTCTCTTCTCTTGCAATACACTCTTTGCACGTTCAGCGACAGATTCAATTAAGTTCAGAGTTTCAGACATGTTTAATTTGTGTCTTGATTCGTGGTCATTCTGATCACTACTAACCAGAATTTCGAATGCTTTTTATTTTAAATTGAAAAATGGATTATAATCCAATTTACATTCTCAAATAAAGCGGTTTATATTTATTCAGTAATGAAAAAGAAATGATTCTCGGATAGAAAGAAAGCTTCATCTGTAATAAATATCTTATTTGGTGATTCTAATCACCAAATAAGATCAATGGTGATAATCAATGTATAATCAATGGTGATATTTTTTAATATGTCTTTACAGACTTCTATTTTTCCGGAAGATTGGAAGAGGGTTTTGATTAAGCCTATTGGAAAGGTAAAAGTTCCACAGCAGCCGGGGGACTACAGACCTATTGCTATTCTTTCTTCATTGTCAAAGGTTCTTGAGAAAGTTGTGTTTTACCAGTTGAATAAATTTGTTGAGACTAATGATGTTCTTAGCCCTTTTCAGTCTGGTTACAGAAAAGGGTTCAGTACACAAACACTCTTGGCTGGTGCAACTGATGATATATGTAAAGCAATTGATCAAAAGAAGGTAACCATAGTGGTGTTCTTTGATTTTAGTAAAGCTTTTGATTCGGTACCTCATACTATCTTGCTATCGAAACTCAAAGCCATATAGGTTTGTCGGGATCAGTCATAAGATGGTTTGCTTCGTACTTGTCAGGTAGAACCCAGGCTGTTGTGGGACCAGATGGAGAGCTATCTGAGTGGGGACATATTGGAACTGGAGTTCCTCAAGGTTCAGTGCTGGGTCCTCTATTGTTCCTACTTTATACTAATGACTTCAGGGGTGTTCTCAAGTATTCTAAGCATATGTATTTTGTGGATGATTTGCAGATCTATATACATTCTAGTTTGGAAGACTTGCAGAATAATATAAGGTTAATAAATGAGGATGTTAAGGCTGTATTTGATTGGGCGAAAGTAAATATTCTTAAAATAAATTTTAATAAGACTTATTCTATGATAATCGGCTCTACTTGGTACGTAAATAAAATAAATTTGAGTGACTCTTCTGTAATAAAAATTAATGATAATACCATCCCTTTTGTTGATTTAGTTAAAAATTTGGGTGTTATCTTTACGCCAACTCTTTCTTGGGATAAGCAGGTTGGCAAAATATGCAAGAGCGTCTATGCCACCTTATCACAATTCAAAACAAATAAGAAAGCCCTTACGGTTGAATTAAAGACGAAACTTGTTACGTCATTGGTTTTCCCTCATTTTGATTACTGTTGTGTTGTATATAATGATATGACTGAAGAATTAAATTATAAACTTGAGAAACTCCTGAATTCATGTATAAGATTTATATTTGATTTAAAGAGGGATGAACATGTAACTCCATATAGGTTACAGCTAGGTTGGCTTAGTGTTAGTAACAGACGACTTTGGTACATCGGCTGTCTTACACATGTAATTTTAAACAATAAAAAACCTTTGTACTTGTATGAAAAGTTTGTCTTTAGAGAGGAAATTACTACTAGAGAGTTAAGATCTCCTTGCATTCTTAGGGCTCCAAAATGTAAAACAGAAAAATATAAAAACTCGTTCATGGTTACTGCCATAAATTTATGGAACTCTCTCCCTCGTTCTATGACAAATATTGAAAGTCCAAAAACATTTAAACTTCAATTATATAAATATTTATTTTCGTTGGATGTATAGAGTATATAGTGTATCTTGATTGGTATGTCATCTGTGTGTGAGTTGCTGTGATAATTTGTAAATCAAAGTATTTTATTTTTACATCTGTATATAGCTTTATTTAACTTTATACGATATATATGTTATTAATTACTGTATTTTTAATGGTTGTCCTCGTGGTATTTACCTAGGACATAATAAAATATATTCTATTCTATTCTATTCTAAACCTAGTTTCAGTTAATGACTCAGCCGAGGAGTTCTACCTTCTTGACAAAAAATTAAACCCAATATAATCCCAATACTTCTATACGCACATACTTAGGAATAACTTTTCCTTGAATCCCCTGTCTCAGAATATATTATGATCAGGGTTGCCACAAGTCAGGGAAAAGTCAGGGATTTTTATTAAAAGTACTGGAAAAATTAAATTTTTAGAATTTATAAGAAAATTCTGAATTTTTGTGTCTTTTTTGTTTGAATTTAAATAGAAATTTTAAGAACAACTGATACAGAAATTTAATTATTTTCAAAAGTGATGAAATTTTTCGCATAAATTCAATTATGTTGAAAAATGTTTTAAAATCCTTGTCAAGATTTCAATTATCTTTATAAATAATATAAAATTCTT